TTTCGAGGCAGGAGGGGAACAGGGGTGGTTCGCCCTTGCTCGGCTTTGCGGGACTTCCTCCGTGATCCCTCATCCAAAGAACTCACCGCTTAGCTTCTGCGATCTGGTTAGATCTGTGCAGCCCCCCCTGCCTGGATGGCGGCGAAGAGTGCTGTCAAGGTGCCATCGACTTACGGTGGCCCTGTAGGGTCAAGGCAAGAGGCGAACGGGGTGGGGTGCAATGTTCCCTCTAAGCTGTGGAACCTTGTGGGCAAAAATTCTACTTTGTGAGCAACTGGCATTAAAGCTGTGAGCGAGCGATTTGGCTGCTGCGTAAATTAGTTGGCTCTGGAGCCATCCTTCCTGAGCTAAGACATAAATGTGTGAGCTGGAGGCTAAAAAACTGTGAGCTCGCTCACACTAACTCAGCTTAGAGGGAACACTGGTGGGGTGGTGGTGGTGGTGGTTTACCATTGCCTGTCTCTGCGGGGCGACTCTGGATTCCCTTGGTGGGCCCCCAAGCCGAGCACTAACCAGGGCTGGCTCTGCTTAGCTAGTTTGGTGTGGTGGTTAAGAGTGCGGATTCTAATCTGGGAGGACCGGGTTTGATTCTCTACATGCAGCTGCTGGGGCGACCTTGGGTCGGTCACAGGTTCTCTCAGAGCTGTTCTCAAGGGCAGTTCTCGAGAGAGCTCTCTCAGCCCCGCCTCCCTCACAGGGTGTCTGTTGTGGGGAGGGGAAGGAGATTGTAAACTGCTCTGAGGCTCCTTCGGGTAGTGAAGGGCGGGGTATAAATCCAATCTCCTTCTCCTTTGTCTAAGGTGTGACGAGATTGGGGGGGGAAGAAAAGTGATTACCTGCTCGGAGTTTTGGTTTGCAGGGATGATGTGTGCGGGGAGGGGGGAGGGAGAAGGGGCAGGGGCCAGTGTTCCCTCTAAGGTGAGTTAGTGTGAGCTAGCTCACAGTTTTTTAGCCTCCAGATCACAGATTTTTGTCTTCGCTCAGGAAGGAGGGGCTCCAGAGCAAACTAATTTATGCAGCAGCCAAATCGCTCACCCACGGCTTTAATGCCAGTCGCTCACAAAGTAGAATTTCTGCTCACAAGACTCCACAGCTTAGAGGGAACATTGGCAGGGACCCCCAACCACCAGATCACTTGCCTCTGACTGAGCCACCTGCGGAACCATCTGGAGCTGAAGGCGGCCAGTGTGGTTGGTCGCTCTTCCATTTCATCCCCCCAACCCTGGAAGGTGTGAGAGTGTCGTGGTGAAGATCGAAGGACTCTAATCTGGAGAACCGGGTTCGTCTGCACTCCTCATGAAGCTAGCTGGGTGACCTTGGGTCAGTCACAGCTCTTTCAGAGTGCTCTCAATCCAGAAAATAAGTTTACCTCGCCACCTAGTGGTGCACAGTGCAAAAAGAGCTAGAACGTCCGATCTGAAGAAGTGAGCAGTGACTCATGAATGCTCTCACCCTGTCTCATATTTCGTTAGTCTTTCGGGGGCTACTGGACTCTTGCTTTTTTCTGCTGCTACAGACAGACTAACGAGGCTACCCATCGAGAACGTGAGACCGCCAGACAATCTTAGGATCTCCTGACTATACTACACACAATGCCATACGATACTTATTATTAATTTATTATTATTACCCCAGGAAGTAGGTTATGCAGAGAGAAGGTGACTGTCCTGAAGTAACCCTGTGCCTTTCAGCCTCTCCCTGGTCCTAATCCAACACTCCCACCATTAAACCATACTGCCTTTTGCAATAAATGAGTTTAAAGTGGCATAAGGTTCTGTTATGTTCTGCCAGGGCGGGGGCTATAGTGAACAAACAGGGAACTGAGACTTGCGCATCTTGAAGTCCTGTTATGCTCAATGGACACCCCCCAAATAAATCAGCCCGGTGGTAAAGCTGGGCGGGTCTTCTCTGGAGTAAGTCCTGGAATGGGCTGTGCTCTCTCAAGAAATGTGCACAGGTTGACTGTTGGAGTTATGAGCTGTGCTGAGCAAAGTATTGACCTAGGGGGAGAGGCGATTTCAGGAGAAGGAGAGAGAAGAAGAGATTGGGTTTATACCCCGCCCTTCACTACCCGAAGGAGTCTCAGAGTGGCTTACAAACTCCCTTCCCCTCCCCACAACAGACACCCTGTGAGGTAGGTGGGGCTGAGAGAGCTCTTTCGAGGACTGCCCTTGAGAGAACAGCTCTGAGAGAACTTGTAACTGACCCAAGGTCACACTAGCAGCTGCATGCGGAGGAGTGGAGAAATCAAACCCGGTCCTCCCAGATTACAGTCCGTGCTCCTAACCACTACACCAAACCACTACACCACACTCCTAACCACTACACCAAATCAGTGGAATCATAAAATGGCGGCTTAAGTTTCACCTGAAGCTTCTGAATACGTTAACACATTTTTATCCTTCCCTCTTAAGGAGCTCAGGGCTGAATATGTGCTTCTTGCCCTTCTCCATTTAACCTCACAACGATCCTGCGAGGCGGACTAGGTGGGGAGAGAATGACAGGCTCAGAGCTATGCAGGGAGTTCTATAGCAGATTGAGGATTCGAACTCAGACCCGGGGAGACCCAACACTCTGCACCACAGGATTAATTTTCTCCCCTTGCTGCCTCTGGAGGAAAGAAAGCAGAACCAGAACCAAACCTTCAGTTTCACTCCTCTTTCTAAGTGAGCAGCCATCCACCAGTTTCTAGTCCACAGGGTGTTTGGTTGTCTAGAAAAACTGTGGTGCAGCGTTTGGATGTGGGCCCCAATAAAGTACAGTCTGGGGAACGTGGCCGGGTTCCTGGCTCTCGAACAAAAGGGCAAAGGAGATGGTAACGGAGCGAGGTGGACTGGGCGCTGTTCTGGCAATGAGTCTTCCACTGAGCCGTGTGAAATGTCTTCACTGCCTGGCATGCGCCAAGGGCTGGCCCGTGCCCTTAATCTCCTCGTAGGCGGAGGGTTGGGTTGGCAGCTGCTGGCCTTGCACACGCAGAGGCTGAAAGTCTTGTTTTTGTGGGGAGCCTGTTTACCCAGATGCCATCTGGTTTGAGCAATGTGTTCCTCAAAACCTTTGGGCCCTGCTGGGGACGGGACGGGACTTTGCAATGTGAACTGCTGCCTGCCAGGCATCTGTAGCCAACTGTCTGTTCACCAGGCAAGCTCGTGTAGACCCTTGTATGTGGTCGTGCATCCGCACACCCAAGGACTGGGTGCTAATGTTACCCTGGCAGTGTATCTCTTCAGCTGGCTTGGGCAGGGATGTGGAATGGGCCTCGAAAGAACATTTAATGTGGTGACGCTGTTATGAAACACTTGGCATGGGGCGATTTGGTGAGCTTTCAAGGACAGCCAGTCTGGTGCAGTGGTTAAGAGCAGTGGACTCTAATCTGGGAGAACTGGGTTTGATTCCCCGTTCCTTCACATGCAGCCAGCTGGGTGACCTTGGGTCAGTCACAGTTCTCTCAGAGCTGTTCTCTCGAAGCTCTCTCAGCCCCACCCACCTCACAGGGTGTCTGTTGTGGGCAGGGGAAGGGAAAGGAGATTGTAAACCGCTCTGAGACTCCGAGTGAAGGGCGGGGTATAAATCCAACCCTCTTCCTCTTGGTGGTGACGTTGAATACTGGCTTGCGACGAGGATTAGTAAGGGCAGCAGGCCAGGTGCAGTGAAAAGAGAGCCGATTCTTGCTGCCCTTGTCCCTATGCAGAAAAGCAGATACAGTCGATGAATTCTGA